CACGGAGCTGCTGAGGGGGGGGGATGTCACGAGGGCGCTGCTGCTGCTGCTGCTGCTGCTGCTGGCGCTGACCACCACCGGAGCCGACCCTCTGCGCAGCGCCACCCCGACCAGCTCCACCTCCTCCGCCGCCGCCGCCTCCACCGCCGCCACCTCCGCTCCCACCGCCACCGCCGCCGCCGCCTCCGCCTCCACTGCCGCCACCGACACCTCCACCCCCGCCACCACCCCCACCGCCACCCCCACCCCCTCCACCGCCTCCACCGCCGCCTCCACCGCCCCCGCTAGCTCCTCCAGTGCCCCTGCCCCCCTTGCCCTTGCCAGGGCGGCGTCTCCCGCTAGGGGTAGACGCCGCACCGACCGACTCAAGCCCAACGAGGTCGGCCGCAGCAGCAGAGGCAACATAGGGCAAAAGGGGGGAGGGGGAACACCCCTCAAAGATGGGGGTGCGAGGGTCACCACGAGAGGCTCCTACAGCTACTATGCTCTTTTCTGCTGCTAGGAGGGCCTTCTCGAGGAGGTGAACGGTGAGAGTGGTGGGGCAAACTGAGAGGAAGTGGTCCCTGACTACGCGAAGGGAGTCAGGGAGCCGGGTGACTATGTAGTAGAGGGTGATGTACATGGGGGGGGGGTTCTTGGCGCAGAACTCAGCAGGAAGCGCAGCGCGGTAGCGAGTGTCACTAGTGCGGAGGTGCGTAATGAGGTCAGCGACTGTGGGAAAGGCAGCAAGGTCAGGGAAGAGGTACGGTAGCATGAGGCGGCTCAGTGCAGCAGTGGCAGGGGAGGAGTAGCGCGCAACTACAGCGTCGTACAAGGTCTGAGCACTCTTGTACTGGCTAAAGTGCGCACGCTCAGAGGTAGGCAGGTGGCGACGCACAGCAAGACGTGCAGCAGCATCGCGAGTGGCCCACTGTGAGCGAACAGTGGCGTCGGCATCAGCAGCAGGGGCAGGAGAGGCACCAGAGGTGAGGTCAAAGAGGGAGAGACCGTCTGCCCTATCGCACTGTAGGAAAAGTTGCAGGTCATCTACCCAGACGTCAAAGTCAATGGCCCGACCCTCAGCGTCAAAAGCGAGGACACTAGGGGTAGCCATGACAGCAGTAGACTAGCAGCGCGAACAGTAGGGTAAGGGCAGTGCAGTGACAGAGGCGCTGCTCTTACCAGACAGGGCGGCTCGGGTGGCTCGGCGGCTCAGCGGCTCGGCAACTCGGCGGCTCGGGCGGCTCGGACGGCTCGGCGGTACGGCGGCTCGGCAGCAACAGCGGCTCGGCGACTCGGCGGCTCGGGCGGCTCGGGCGGCTCGGCGGTACGGCGGCTCGGCAGCACGGGCGGCTCAGGTGGCGCGGCGGCTCGGGCGGCTCGGGTGGATCGGGCAGCTCGGCAGCAGCTCGGGGGCGCCGGCGGCTCGGTGGTGACGGCGGGGCCGCGGGGGGAGCGGCGGCGGGGCCGGGTGGAGCGGCGCCGGTAGGGCCGAGGCGCACCGGCGGGTGCAGTCAGCGGCGGCAGCAGCTGCGGCCCCGAGGGAGGTGGTGGCGGCTGCTGCTGGCGACGGCTGCGGCTGCTGCTGCAGGGACGGCGGCGGCCGCGGAGGGCGGCGACGGGCCGTGATAGGGCGGCGCGAGGGGCCGCGGAGGGCGGCGACGGGCCGTAGGGGGCCGTGAGGGGCCGCGGGAGGGGCCGTAAGGGGCGTAAGGGGCCGCGCGAGGGGCCGTAAGGGACGGCGTGAGGGGCCGTAGGGGGCCGCTAAGGGCGGCGCGAGGGGCCGACGGGCGGCGCGAGGGGCCGAAAGGGCGGCGCAGGGGGCCGTGAGAGGGGCCGCTAAGGGCGACGCGAAGGGACCGTGAGGGGCCGTGAGAGGGCGCGACGGTAGGGAGGGCACACAGGGCGCGACTCGGGCAGGAGCGAAGCGCGCTCCGGGCAGGAAAAAAAAAAGATTCGTGGTGGGCCCTAGGAAGTGTTCCCACTAGGGAACCTGCTCGATACCATGAGAAGAAACGAGGAATGAAATGACTAAAGGAAAGTTGGGTACAAAAGCAAACCCTAGAAAACTGTACCCCATATGTGCTACCCCACTATAGCCTACAATAGCTATGTCATATAAATCTGACACACGGCTTACACCCCACAGTTTAACGGTGTAGCAGAACAGGCGAACGGGAAATTTCTGGAAACATCTGGGGCGCTGGTAATAGAATCAGGGCTTGGCAAGTTGATGTGGCCCCATGCTGTCCGGCACGCCACCGTTGCTAGGAACATGGTGCTCACGAAGGTAGGTGATGATTCGTGGGTGCCGTTGGAGAGGTGGCTTGGGAGGAAGCCGCCAGTGGACATGCTGAGGGGGTTCGGTTGCATGGCAATTGCTCACGTCCCCAAAACGTACCGAAGTAAGTTGGGGGTGAGTGCACTATGGTGTGTGCATTCGGGGCTGGCTGCTGAGAGCAAGGGATGGTTGCTCTGGGAACCACGCAATGGTGTTTTGTTTGACAGCAGGGATGTGAAGTTTATTGAGGGCCTGATACGTAGGGGCTGGAGGAAACAGCCAGAGGCCAAGGTACCAGCGGGAGCCAATTTTTTCAGATCGGTGTGAGCCAATCAGATGTGTTCAACCTGCCTATTCGTTTTGTTTGAAACATTGTTGTATCAGCCGAACTCATCGCAACGATTTCAAGCTGGGACGATCTTCACTATTTTATACTTCGGTTTAAAATTCTTTCCTATCCATTACGATTCCCGGTTATACCGTATGGCCTCGGATATAGGCGCTGTCCTATTAAAGGCGCCGGCGCTTATATCTGGAGCATGGCGCTTTTGGCCGGTCCTCAATTATAAGTGCCCCCCTAGAAAACCTTTACTTATTATAAGCGCACGTGTAATTTTAATTCAAATTCTTGCTTAAAACGGTAACGAAATTCATTTTGTGCAGCGATTCACATTTCAATTTCGCTTCGTTTGACTCGCGAAGACCCGACTGGCTGCGCGTCCAGTCAGGATGTGCTGGCATGACATGTCTTTGCCTGTGTGTGCACCCAGAATATCGCTTGCGCGAGATTCTGCTTTGTGACGCTAAAACATTTCGTCTCGGTTGAAATGGCAAGAAGAAAATAAACATTTTGGTGCTCTAAATATATAATTTCGTATTTGTCAATATATAAGCGCCGGCGCTTATGATCGTTACTCAATTACAAGCGCCCCCCCTAAAAAAAATGAATTTATTATAAGCGCATATGCGCCTATATCCGGGGTTGTACGGTATCAACAACTGCTAGCAGTATTTCGTAGCATTCGCGCATCACAATTCCCAAACCACGGATTCCTGGACCGGCCCGAGTCGACATACATTTCGGGACGAGCCCGAACATCGCTGCCTGCATCGCACAAGCTAGCTCGCACGCACCGCGATACCTTTTGCTTGTTTCCGGTATAAATGTTCGCTCATTCCTTCGCACACACATGTACTCGTTTGCCAACTTATTGAGATTCTCATTTCATTACACGCCCTAACACGTGACTGTAGAGGAATCTCTATAATTATTTATCTTGAATGTATGACTCTGGCAAAGGATTACTCCGAAACCCAATCGAGGCGATCCGAGAGGAGCCGGCTAAGCTGCTGGCTTGGGTGAGTCACTCTGCTCACTACTACTGGCTCAATACGTTGCGATTCCGTAACTGCCAGGTTGCCCCAGTTTCTCGTCACTCCGGTTCACGAGGTCGCATATGCTTCCTTGTTTTCGTGATTGGCAAAGACACCTGTATCGAGTCCTTAATGATACCGCAGGCCTTGAGAGGGGTGCTTGTGTTGGTGATGAAGACGATCTTTTGTATATAAATACGCCCTCGGAAAGTCCTCTCATCTCTGCCAATGAGGCACATCTCTGCCACGCCCCATAACCGAGGTGGCACGGTGTCGTTGTTTCCATGCGTAAGGATAATACTTCGCAGCAGGGAGACTTTGCGACCGCCTGTGCAGTGACAAAGTTCACCAATTCGCCAGTTCGGCCTCACCATCCTCTCCGCGTGCTCATCTGCAGCGGTCCTTACTAGTACGTGCTCCCCTCTTGCTTCGACCTAAACACTAGCCCTTGCTTCGGTACTGCGTCGAGCCTTCTACCCACAGCAAAGAAGAGATTTTCGTGTTCGTTTGCAACCTTAGTACTAACCGCTGCGCCTCTCCCGGCGATTTCGCCCAGCCTATCACCCACACACCCCGGCCGCCCTGGTGCATCCCGTCAAGCAGCGACGAGCCCTGTGGAGCGGCAGCATGCGGCTCTCTAGCCTCCCGACCTGGGCTGCAGCGGCGGCAGTGAGCCGCCAGGGGATGGCGGGTGAGCGCGTGCTGCGCGCGCTGGCATTCGCATGCCTCGCCGCCGCCCTTGTTACTCCCCTCGCCAACGCCCACGCCGGGCCGATGGAGGCCTCCCAAGGTACATAGAAGGTCACGCCGAGGTATTGACGCTTGGCGAAACAGGGCACGGCGCTGCCACGTGGCCGAGCGGCTAAGTCGCAGCTGAAGAGATGTGAGGAGGATATGATTCAGAGTGGCATGACCTGAAAAAGAAGAGTTGTTAAGATATTACTACGACAAGAATGATGGCTATCTATAGGAAGGAGAGCGACCTTCTAGTAGAATGAAATCCGTGTCCCATGGCATCTTAAGCTCCTGATGCCATGCCACGCTCTGTTGGAATATTCTAGTAGAATAATTTCCAGAATTTGCAACGGGCCCCATCCAGAGCTAGCTCAGGCATCAGTAACTTTCCTATTCCCATGCATTTGTGCATGGCGAATCCAACCATGGAGTTGTATCCAGTCAATTGCAATCATGGAGTAATCCACAGAGACACCAACGAGCATCATCACGTGCTTCTTCAACCAGCCCCCTCCCCTTCATGCGCTCCTCACCCCCTCATCACTCCCACATCCGTCACCCTCCCCTCCCCATTTCGTACAAACCGTCCCTCCTCCCCCGTCCCCTCTTCCCGGTCTCCCTTAATTTGCAGCGCAATTCCTGCACGACTGCCAGGCGGCATGGAATTGGACTATTGATTCGTGGAGTGATGCGACCCCAGAATGCTCCTCTGCCCAATACATCACATGCCACGAGAGTGGGATGATTGTGACAATGTACGATCGTGTCATCTGCAAATTGGATGATCCCCTGCAGTATAGGCGCATAACCCTTGAGGTTTTTGGGAGTCGGACATAGTGCTACTTGCAAAAGACGTGGAGTCGGACTTGTGATGGTTGAATTGGCTCAATACCCGAACGCTTTGGCCTTTTTAACGAGTAATCTGCTAAAGGCATCACATATAATATGAGCGGGATGTGGGATGACTTCCTGTGCAGTATAATTGTGTTCAGAATTTCCCATGCATGCCACACTAAGCAAAGCGCACAATACCACTAGGAACACCTGGGATTCTTCGCGACATGACAGACTCATTCAAACTTCTTCTAATGCCTGACTTTATTTCCAAACGGATGGTGGTGGCATGTTTGCCTGCAGGTACTTACCGTACCGTGCATTGGAAGGGCCTATTCCGACTTCCATCAGCAACCTGAGAGAGCTCGTTGACCTGTACGTCCTTCCAGCATTGTGAACTGCCTGCTTGCAAGGGACTGAGAGAACAGAGTTCTCAACTAATTCGCCACCGCTTACATCTGTCCACCGCACTAAATCTACAAAACCCAAGCGCCAGGTTTGAATCCAGATCTCGTCACTTCAGAAAGTAATTTATTTCCCTGGAGCCAGCCTATAGCCCATCGCACAACTCCCGCCCCCCCCCCCCCCCCCCCCACACCACCACCACCCACCCACCTCCCCCCCCCCCCCCCCCCCCCCCGCCCCGCCCCGCTAGTCTACTCCGATACTAAGTTGGAAAAATACGTGTTGGGCGTTTTATACGCTAGCGTATAAACGCAGAACGCTTTGTGTGAGGTGTCCAATATGCTCTGCAAACGCATGGTCGGACATGGTAACAAAAATCTCGGGAAGGGCAAAATTTAGGGTTAAGAGGTGGGGATGGGGGAGGTGCAAAGCACCACTGATTCCCATACCCTCTGTAGTAATATGCATAATACAAAAACTGAAATTTCCTACAACATTAACCATACCCCCACATTCCACCTCACATCGTCCACCCTCTATCCTACTGCCCATTATCCAATCCTACATTCCACCTAAGTTGAAAAAAACGCAAGATTGAAGTTGCGTATTGAGTTTATACGCATCCAGAATTCGTACGCTGCGGATTTCTAAAAAAATCGCCAAATTTCGCTCGGGCTGACCGGAAAAAAAATATATTACTTGAGTTCACGATCTGGCGAACTCAAATTTGAGTCTCGAATTTCAGATCTGAGTTTGCGCATTGCAAATGCAACTTCAGATCTGAACGTCGAGATTGTTTGGTGGATCATCCCTCCTATCCACCGCTCAACAACCTATTCCAACCCCATCCAATTTGTTGCCAACTTCTACCAGACACATCCTCCCCACTCAATGTCAGGCCACTTTTCCCTTAGATAATCTCTGCTTTCGATTTCTTCCTCCCCTTCTTTTCTTACTTGCAACGATGACCTACTACAGCATCAGTTAGGTAGTGGACTACTACAGCAGCTCCTGTTTCTATCTTTTGTCCTAGCATCTAACCTGCCCGGGGGAATTTTTTTCCTGCCCGAGCAAGCGGATTCTTGTGCGTACCAGACCCCTCCCGGCCAGCGTTTTGCATTTAGACGCTAGCGTTTATACGGAAGCGTACTAAACGCGAAACGCGTTTTCCAACTTAGCATTCCACCCCACCCACCGCCCTCCAGCTAAGCGTACTCATCTTCAAGAATGAGCTCCTCCCCAACTTCTGCCTAGCCTTCACGAGTGGGGGTCTCTCAATATCCCCCCTGACCACCCCCTGCCCCGTAGGGACCGAGTACTAGTTGTGCACAACTGCCAACATAGACTAGGTCCCTGCATTTCTGGGAACCTAGGCGGTTGCGCCTTGCCGTGTGGACTGCGTCCCACACAGCCCAGTTTCTCTCACAGAAACATGCTGTGAGAGCACATGACAAGCAAGCGTCGCGAGCTCGGGGAAGTCGGTGCCGTTCCACGTCCACCACTGGCCGGCACGCTGCCTCCCCTCCTTCACTGCTGCATGGTCGGCAATGGCCTGCGATAGGGATGAGCACAGACGGTTTTTTTTTTGCTTAAAGTGTTCGCCAAACAGTGTTCGAGGTTCGCCTGAACACGTTCGTGTTCGGGCCGCTGGTGCAATTTGCCCCGCGACGAACACAAACGTGTTCGAGGTTCGCCCGAACACGCCTTCACAGGCGAACGGCGAACACCTGTTTTTGCTTTAAGTGTTCGCCGAACCGAACAGTGTTCGGTTCGGCAAATGGCTGTGTTCGTGTAGGGGTGAACACGAACATGTTCGTGTTCGCCCCTTGCTCATCCCTAGCCTGCGACATGCCAAAGTTTACTTTCAGGTTCAGGGACGCGGAGAGCCCCTCCTGCAACACAAGCGATGCACTAAGCTCCTCGCCGTCCTTTCGAGTGATAGTCAAGTGGTCATAGTGGGCCGAGATGTAGAACTTCAGGACGCGCATGCAGTCAATGTCCGTCCTGAAGGTCCCTTCTTCCTGGTTAGCGGGATGGGGCACGCGAGGGTTTCATCCCATCGCTTCTTCACGATCCCCGTGATGTCCCCCACCTCCCCCTTCGTATGGAACCCCTCCGTCTGATCGTCGAGGATGTCCTGCAGGTCCTTGGTGTTGGTGTACTTTCTATATCCTAGCGTAGTGAACTTTGTACTGTGTGTCTGGTTGGGTGTACACCTACATCCCAATCAGACCCAATTGTGATCTCCAAGCAATCTCCAACCCACCAATTGGAGATTTCTTTGGGATTACCCCCAATCCCTAGAGATTGCCCCCGATTCCCTTCCCCATCCTTTCCTTGCCCAACCTGGATGTACTTAGAAATCTTCGTGCTCATTACTAATGCATCGATTCTAAGTTTATGTTCTGACACTTGGTGGGTTGCAGCATGGCACCGTAGAGGCACCCCATCATTCCCTTAGCTGTTGCATCCGTCGCCCGCATCATGACGAAGGGGACCTTTACCACGTTCGTGAAGAACTCCGCAAGCTTCCACGAAGGGTCATCCATGACTTGCACGTGGAAGGCGCGCTCGCTTTCCTTGCGCCTGTTGCCTAGCCCCTCCACTCCTCACTCAAAACCACCTGCAGGAGGGAGAAGCGCACTTTGTTAAAACTTGAGCTGAGAATCCATACATTAGTAATGAGCTTGAAGCTCTTTTAGTACATCTAAGATAAGCAAGGAAAGGATGGTGACGGGGATTGGGGGCAATCTCTAAGGATTAGGAGTAATCCCAAGGCTTCTCCAATTGGTGGGTTGGAGATTGCTTGGAGATCACATTTGGGTTTGGTTGGGATGTGGTGTACACCCAACCAAACACAAAGTGCCTACTACACTAAACTATGATATAGAGAGCGCAAGTACAAAATGTGAGATTGGGGGCTAACATTAACACACTTCACAAAGGCGGGAGACAGCGATGAACCGAGTGCCGAAGTGGGACTCCGCTGGCTTCAAGACCTGCTTCCCCTTCCCGCCGTTGACCCGAGGGTTGCGCAAGTACCCGCGCGTGAAGTGGTGGTTCCTCACAAAGTTGACAATGTCCGCCGTCCGGGAGACATTCTCTTTTGCCCACGTCATCTTCCCAATGTCCTCCATCATAAGATTGAGGGCACGGGTCGCACAAGGTATCTGCTTGATGTGCGAGTATTCCGCCATGAGCTCACGACACGCCGCCACATAATACGAGCCGCCATCCCAAGGCGACAATGTTCTCGGCCTCGACCTTCTTGATGATCGGGCGTTGAAGCTGTGCGATATAACCGCCCGTTCTGATGGAAAACGTGCGAATCTAGGGAGCTTAACAAGAGATTAAGTCCGCCGACTTCGACGGAACATTGCGTGCAGCTCACGTCTCCTTAAAGTATAAACAGGTACGTGTGAAATATGTCTTAATCTTTACTTTCGTTATATTGCTCATCCCTACCTTCAACCAAGATCTAGCTCAATCGCTATCGTAATTTGGGTGCGACGAGGTATCCTGACTAATTACTTGACAGCCATGAATTAGATATAGAAAAAATGCTTCACCAAGAGATCAGATCTTAAAAGTGACGAGTTTGACAAACCCTACCAACCCAACCATCATAAAAAAACAGGCTCTGTTTTCGGCTGTTTAGGGTGATCGAGTTGTTGTTTACCTGTGCTGATGGCTGTTTGCCAAGTGCCCCGTATATGGATTGGCGTTCAGCCCATTGTGACCCACTTACCGAGCCCCATGTAGAGCTTCGTAAACGACCGATTAGGGGTACCACTGTAGCACTAGCCCAACTGGCGAACATGGTCGCATGTACTGCAGTTCGCGTCGGGAAATTGCGTGCCAGGTAAACTGGGGCGGGCTACTTGCGATTTACGGGATCCCCGGTTTCCGTCTGTAAATGGTAATTCAACTCCGCGTACAGTCAGTGACGACCTTGCACCCAGTTGCCGCGTCTGGGCGTCGACATTGCCGTAACCTGAATCGTAACTGTAACCTCCAGCTTCTAATACCCAGTTACCCTGCGTAACATTCAATACACAGTAAAATTCATTCGTGCGGCCTCGTCGCTGTAGAAGTCGGTCATGCGAGACTTTTTCGCCTCGCCAGTGACCGCCGCAATAGGAGAGACCTCGCGCTTGCCTTATACTTCTCATATATCATCTTCACCCTGTCCTTGACAGCCTTGGGAGCGTCGGAGTAGATTTGCACTTCACGGCGCCTCATCCCGGTTCATCTGGTGATGTGCTGTACAGCGCGGTACACTCCGCCCATGAACTTGAACTTGCATTACTTGCATACCTTTTTGGTGTTGTTGACATCGTCGCCTGCGGGCACTAAGAAGTGCTTGAAAACAGCGTGGGTGATGTCCATGCAGACCAATGAAGTGCTCGTAGCCTCAGCTGAAGTACTACAAGGCTCTGCAGTTGGGTTAGAACTAGGAGTTGCAAAGGACGGTAGCCCATGCCGGAAATGGAGCAAGAGAAGACAAAGAAGTGAGATTGAAGAATGAATGAAAAGAGTTGAAATAAGCTACATTTATGTTAGAAGGGAGGGTGGGGTGAACATTGAGTTGAAAAGGGGAGTGGGAGTAATTTGGGTATGGAGAGGTTTGAAGTGGTTAACATTTGTGGTGGGTGCGACGCGGCTTGGAAAACGCAAAACCTTCGAGTCGCCACGTCGCGAATCGAAACCAAAACTTTGAATTTATTATTTTTCGGGCTGGCCGACATATTTCGTGCGTTTCTACACCAAAAAATGCAACGTTCGTTTTTCCTTAGTGTATAAGCGCAAAACGCAAAAATACATGAGCGTATATTTCCACTGAGCTCCGATTTTCCCTGCTTAGATGGCCAGACGTGTTTGTGGTAACTCAGAACACTGTTCGTTTGTCAACCTGAACAGTGTATTGAAGCGAGGCGAGCTTTACTCGCACTTGGCCAAGGTTTTGGTCGAAAACATTCACGAGTTCTTCTCGGCTTAGGGCATTACTCGTAGAAGTTCTCCCCCTGGCGAACATGTTCAAGTGGACCAACCAGGGGTCTGGGTGGAGCAAACTGGGATCTGGGTGTTTGTACATGTTCAATGATCCCTTTCCCATTTCCTCCCTTTTTCCTGTTCGATTCGGTTCTATGCTCAAGTCTATCGCGCGGGTATCGCGCTGAACAGTAACACGTTTAGTTCGAAATGGCTGGATGACATTTGACTCTAACGTTAACATAATCGGGTCGAGCACTTTTGAACAGAAGTCTGTGTTGATTCCCCTCAAACATGTTCGAGTGGGCCAAGCAGGAGTTTGGGTGTATGTTCAACAATCCCAGATCCATTTCCTTCCTTGTTTGGTACCATTCGTGAAGCCCTTTTTGTGTACTTTCCGATTCTGCATTGAAAAACCACGCCCCAGAGCAAGTAATGTTCACCTTGCTAATACCACCTCCCTCTATCTATCCCTTGCTATGCCCACGTACATTTCATGGTGAGTGCCCATCATCGCCTGTTATGCAACGGAAGGAGGTTGTCAGGCTAATATCTATTGCTGCCCGTATCAAATGCCCTTGTGTTCTTCACTTCACCACAGTAATCTTGGCCAAAATCAGCTCTCTGGCTCAATTCCGACTGAAATATTCACCCTTACAAGGCTGACACTTCTGTAAGGCCTCTAATTTGTGTGCTACAAGGCTGACACCTTTCCCACTATTGTTCTCCCTTACCCAATTCCTTCCACTCATAACGTTTTCATTCTTCTCTTTTTTTTGTCATCCTTGTTCGTCCCTTTCCTGAACTTGCTCCTCTCTTCTCGTCACTTCTCACTTTATCCACTTCTTGGTCCTTTTCTCATCCCCACCATCGTGCCTCTGCAGCACGTGAAGAATGTCGATCCATACTTGGTTGTTGCTATAAGCATGCATGCATGTACATTTGTACTCTGTCTCAACTCTCTAATTGTATGTATATCTTATGTGCCTTATCATTATGGCAGCGTACTTTCTGGGAATCAACTCACAGGCTCGATTCCTAGTGCGATTGGCATGCTTACCAACCTAGCTGAATGGTAAGGTCTCTGTTGTTTTTTTTTCTCTCCTTTCTCTACCCCACCTGTCTACTCCTTGTTTCGTCTAAGACTAGAGGGGCTCTTTTGGTTTGCTCGTAGACTCTTTCTTGTTTGTCTCCTGGCCTTCTCTTTTCTTCTCATGTTGCACCTGCCATCCCACACTTGCCAATGTGCACTGCCGATGGGCACTATGTTACCGTCATAGTTAGGGTCACACTTTTGCCTATCCTCCTATTGGATGTTTGTTTCCATGCGAACTTGAACGATGTAGAAAAGGGATCGGTGAACTTAAGAACCAATAGGAAGAAGAAAATATCCTTAGCAGGAAGATGGTACAAGTTTTAGAGACTAGAGCAAGGTCCTTGTCCAAGGATGAGTTTTAGTGAAGTGAGAAGCCAAATTTATGTGGCTCAACTCTTGAGGCTAGCTGCAGCACCTCAAAGTTGAGGGCAAGGCTAGCCAACCTTGCCAAGCTAGCAACCGAGGCGTTATGTTGCACATGTGGACCAGGCTGGAACAACAGCCTACATGGCAGCATATGGCGCACACCATAGGGGCCAGCAAGGTGAGTATGGGATGAGTGGGCAGGTGGCAATGCCAACTGTGACCACGCTCCACTGTGGGTGAGTGCTATCTTGCGCCTGACGCCCTAGAAGGGCAGCGTCCAGCGTCCGGACGTCGGTTTGACGCTGGACGTTCGGGGAAAAATGTTTCGGGCAGCCCGAAATTTTTTTCTCTCCTGCACGAAATTGACTTGCGATTTCATCGCGACCAGAATTGAGATGAAATTGCCAACTGGGGGCCGCGTTTTTGACTTAAAAAAACGCAACCCTCATTTATTTCCCCCCACACATTTGTACCCATCCACATCTACTTCTCCCAACCTGGTCGACCCCCAACTAAACTAGAGAACCAGATCTAGGTCGACATTACACAGATCTGTTTCTCTCGACATTGCCAAGCATTCCTTACACAAGAATCCGCCAATCACGCTACTAAGCCTTCCTACCTAAAATTAGGTTAAGGCGATTAAGATATCATGTCATTCCGCAGGAGGAGGTGGATGAGGAGGAGGAGGAGGAAGAAGACAAGCTGCTGGCTGATGAATATGTGCCAACCCCCCTCTTCCCTAGGTTATGCATGTGAGATTAGGAGATTTTCAGGATTTTCTGGATTTTATGGAGTATTTATAACTATAGGTGACAAATGTGAACTTCTTGCATTCTAACCCCTGCGTATCCTTACTAGGCAGGCTTTATTACCCCTGCCCGGAAAACATTTTTGTCCTGCCCGGACTAGCGTCAAGCGGGCGTCCAGGGCAGATGGCACCGGACGTCAAGCCTCTGGTCGCCCCGTCCAGACGCCAGCGTGAAAAACGCCTGATGCGTCAGGCGCAACATAGGGTGAGTGTGGTGGAGTGTGGACATGTCATGGTGATCATAGTGAAAATGGAAAGTGCTGATGCTGAGGGTTGAACCCACGACCTCTAAGACTAAATCTGAGAATCTACTCACTGGGACATACTTGTTGCACAACACTCCCCTTCAAGGATGTCCCCGGGGTAGGGTTTTTCAAGAGGAGACATGGGTGACACAAAAAAGATAGCAGATGCGGAGAAAAGAGTCACGGGGCAAAGGTTTCGTGCCAGTATCAGCGAGGTTGTCTTGAGTAGGAACATAGTGAAGGCTGACCGAAGTCGTCGATGTGCTTGGCCTTAAGATGAAGAACACCATCGTCCTTGGCGAGAATGATGGTACTGTTGTTGTCACACGAGATGCGGGTGGGGCCGGTTGGAGGAAGGCCAAGTGCAGTAAGGAGGGAACGAAGCCATAAGGCCTCATGCACCGCGGCGCCCAGAGAATAATGTTCAGCTTCACATGAGGAGGTAGCGACAACAGTTTGGCGTTTGGACTGCCAAGAGATGAGCGACGGACCGAGGAAGAACAAGTAGCACGTAACGGAGCGTCGGAGCTCCCCCTCTGGTCCCCAAGATGCATCACACCACCCATGAAGCTCAAGGGTGTTGGGAACGCCACCAAGGAGAAGCCCGAAAGAGGTAGTCCCTTTCAAAAAGCGCCTAATCGTGAAAGTGACGATCAAGAACTCCAGCGCTATACGCGAGATCAGGACGAGAACCCACCATGGCATACATGATGGATCCGACAAACGAGGTGTAAGGAAAGGAGGAGGAGTGCGGGGATGAAGTCACGGGCGGCTGAAACTTGGTGTCCATGGGAGTGGCAGCGGGGTTAAGCGGAGTGAATGAGTTGGTGTATAGAACGGAGGTGATGAATTTGGATTGATGGTGGTGGAGAGTGCGGGAGGTCCGATCACGAGAGATGTGACAGCCAAGGTAGTAGGAAAGAGGACCGAGGTCACGAAGCTTGAAGCTAGACGAGAGGGCACCCTTGAATTAGGCAAGAAGAGAAGAGGAGAGAATGATGAGGTCGTCAACGTAGACGAGAAGCATGGAGAAGGATGCAGCTGTAGGCCGATAAGGAGAGTGAGGAGGAGCAATGAAAAAGCCGGGGTCCGCACGGGCAGCAAAGAGGTGAAAGGCAGCAAGCTCCTCACGAAGCTTCCGGTACAAGCATTGCGGGGCTTGTTTCAACCCGTACAGTGGGTTGTGCAATAGACAAACTTGCTCAACACCATGGACTAAGGGTGGAAATCGAGTACCCGATTCGAATATGAGTACCTTAGACGAGTATTAAGCTAGTAATCACCGAAAAAATATTTGATTGAATACCACCATTTCATTCGAATTGATGCTCATGTTCAACAATCCCATTTTCATCTCCCTCGTTTGGTACCATTCGTGAAGCTCTTTTTGTGTACTTCCGATTGTGCATTGACAAACCACGCCCCAGAGCAAGTAATGTTCACCTTGCAAATACCACCTCCCTCTATCTATCCCTTGCTATGTCTGCGTACATTTCATGGTGAGTGCCCGTCATCATCTGTTATGCAACGAAGGAGGTTGTCAGGCTAATACCTATTGCTGCCCGTATCAAATGCCCAATTTGTGTTCTTCACTTCACCACAGTGATCTTGGCCAAAATAAGCTGTTTGGCTCAATTCCGACTGAAATATTCACCCTTACAAGGCTGACACTTCTGTAAGGCCTCTAATTTTGTGTGCTCTTTCAATGAAACTAACACCTTTCCCACTATCTTTCTCCCTTACCCAATTCTTTCCACTCATAACGTTTTCATTCTTTTGTTTTTTTTTGTCATCCTTGTTCGTCCCTTTCCTGAACTTGCTCCTCTCTTCTCGCTTCTCACTTTATCCACTTCTTGGTATTTTTCTCATCCCCACCATTGTGCCTCTGCAGGACGTTAATAATGTCGATCCATACTTGGTTGTTGCTATTAGCATGCAAGCATGTACGTTTGTACTATTTGTCTCAACTCTCTGTTTGTATGTATATCTCATGTGCCTAATTATCATGGCAGCGTACTTTATAGGAATCAACTCACAGGCTCGATTCCTAGTGGGATTGGCATGCTTACCAACCTAGCTGAATGGTAAGGTCTCTGTTGTTTTTTTTTCTCTCCTTTCTCTACCCCACCTGTCTACTCCTTGTTTCGACTAAGACTAGAGGGGCTCTTTCGGTTTGCTCGTAGACTCTTTCTTGTTTGTCTCCTGGCCTTCTCTTTTCTTCTCATGTTGCACCTGCCATCCCACACTTGCCAATGTGCACTGCCGATGGGCACTATGTTACCGTCATAGTTAGGGTCACACTTTTGCCAATCCTCCTGTTCGATGTTTGTTTCCATGCGAACTTGACGCTGTAGAAAAAGGATCGGTGAACTTAAGGACCAATAGGAAGAAGAAAATATCCTTAGGAGGGAGATGGTACAAGTTTTAGAGACTAGAGCAAGGTCCTTGCCCAATGATGAGTTCTAGTGAAGTGAGAAGCCAAATTTATGTGGCTGAACTCTTGAGGCTAGCTGGAGGCTAGCCAACCTTGCCAAGCTAGCAACTGAGGCGTCATGTTGCACATGTGCGCCAGGCTGGAAAAACAGCCTACATGGCAGCATATGGCGCACACCATAGGGGCCAGCAAGCTGAGTATGGGATGAGTGGGCCGGTGGCAATGCCAACTGTGACCACGCTCCACTGTGGGTGAGTGTGGTGGAGTGTGGACATGTCATGGTGAGCATAATGAGAACGGAAAGTGCACATGCTGAGGGTTGAACCCACGACCTCTAAGACCAAATCTGAGAATCTACTCACTGGGACATACTTGTTGCACAACACCCCCGTCAAGGATGTCCCCGGGGTAGAGTTTTTCAAGGGGAGACATGGGTGACACCAAAAAGAGAGCAGATGCAAAGAAAATAGTCACGGGGCAAAGCGTCCTTGGCGAGAATGATGGCACTGTTGTTGTCACACGAGATGCGGGTGGGGCCGGTTGGAGGAAGGCCAAGTGCAGTAAGGAGGGAACGAAGCCATAAGGCCTCATGCACCGCGGCGCCCAGAGAATAATGTTCAGCTTCACATGAGGTGGTAGCGACAACAGTTTGGCGTTTGGACTGCCAAGAGATGAGTGACGGACCGAGGAAGAACAAGTAGCACGTAACGGAGCGTCGGAGCTCCCCCACTGGTCCCCAAGATGCATCACACCAGCTCAAGGGCGTTGGGAACGCCATCAAGGAGAATCCCGAGGGAGGTAGTCCTTTTCAAAAAGCGCCCAACGCGTTTGGCAGCCGAGACATGAGGAGTAGACCAATCGTGAAGGTGGCGAGCAAGAACTCCAGCGCTATACGCGAAATCAGGACGAGATCCCACCATGGCATACATGATGGATCCGACGAACGAGGTGTAAGGAAAGGAGGAGGAGTGTGGGGATGAAGTCACGGGCGGCTAAAACTTGGTGTCCATGGGAGTGGCAGCGCGGTGAAGCGGAGTGAATGAGTAGGTGTCTAGAATTGAGGTGATGAATTTGGATTGATGAAGGTGGAGAGTGCGGGAGGTCCGATCACGAGGGATGTGAAAGCCAAGGTATTAGAAAAGAGGACCGAGGTCACGAAGCTTGAAGCGAAACGGGAGATCACCTTTGAATGAGGCAAGAAGAGAAGAGGAGAGAATGATGAGGTCGTCAACGTAGACGAGAAGCATGGAGAAGGATGCAGCTGTAGGCCGATAAGGAGAGTGAGGAGGAGCAATGAAAAAGCCGGGGTCCGCACGGGCAGCAAAGAGGTGAAAGGCAGCAAAGAGGTGAAAGGCAGCAAGCTCCTCACGAAGCTTCCGGTACGAGCATCGCGGGGCTTGTTTCAACCCGTACAGTCGTTTGTGCAATAGACAAACTTGCTCAACACCACGGACTAAGGGTGGAAATCGAGTACCCGATTCGAATATGAGTACCTTAGACGAGTATTTAGCTAGTAATCACCAAAAAAATATTTGATTGAATACCACCATTTCATTCGAATCGGATACGAGTCGAATGCTGTCGAATACGAGCGAATACGAGTCGAATATCGAGTACTGCCGCACCAATTTAATATCCTTGTGTGAACGCAATATGAACCTATATTTTGTAGCTTTGGACAGGTCGAAAAGTTCCGTGCAAACTCTAGCATGAAACACGCGTTACCTAGACAGCCATTTGTTAACGCCAGCTTCCACTTAGAATGGCTGAAAATTGAGTAGTGAGTGCGTTACAGTGTATGAACCGAGAGTGTGTGTTGATATGGCCGCATCATCGTCAGTGCACAAGCACTTGTAGCCACTTAGGTTCTTACTCAATGAAGCCCCAAACTCTGTTAAAAGTGGACGGTTGATCCTCTGAGGAGGAGATTTCTAGGCACATTGACTATATTCCTTGTTTTAGGTGTATCAGGGGGTAGGGATGCTTAATTTGAGTACTTGTCGAGTATCCGAGTACTTGATCCCCGAATACTCGCCCTCTCGAGTACTCACGGGTCGAGTACTCGCCCCTTTTCTCAGGCATTCGCTTTGACTAGTATTTGCCGAATACTTCGAATCTCGAGTAGTGATCGAGACCTCCCAACACGTTTTCTACCCTTACCACGGACCGCCGGAAGTTCAAAACCGGGAGGCTGCATCATGTAGAGAATCTCATCATGCGAGCCGTTGAGGAAGGCGTTGGAGATGTCAAGCTGATGGACTCGAAAGCGGCCGCAAGGGTGAGGAAGAGGCGGAGGGTGGCGAAGCAGACAGTAGGAGCAAAGGTGTCATGAAAATCAACACCATTGGGTTGCTTGAAGCCTTTCACAACAAGACGAGCCTTGCGGCGTTCAATAGAACCATCAGCATGCTCCTTGACCTTGAAAATCCATTTGCATGGAATCGGCTTGCACTTGGGTGGTCGAGGAACAATGCTGTAGGTGTCGGTAGCGTGCAGGGAAGCGAGTTCCGCATCAGCAGCATTGATCCATTCAGCAGCATCAGGGCCGGTACGGACCTCATGAACGGTTTGAGGTTCGTAGTAATCATGAAGGGCAGCATTTGCGGAGGTCTTGGACAAAGGAGGAAGGGTGAAGAGGAGGAGGTATAGAGGACGAGATGGGTGAAGATGTCTTCAGAGGGTCTTGAGGGTCGTCGGAAGGTGGCGAAGAGGGCTCCATGAAGATGACATCACGAGAAATTATGACACGGTGTCGTCAAGATTGCCATATCCAACCATGATGCCTGCTGTGCTTCGGTCGTCGAGCTTAGAACGCTGTTGTGAAGGAATGAGGACCGACCACCCGAACTCGACGCCCTCCAGGGTTGGCGCCCTCTCTTAGGTCGACGTCTCTCCTCGTCGACCTCGGTTGAAATTGGCCGCCGGCTCCCGAAGGTCAGCGGCACTGCAGTGGCCCCGTGCACGTCGACCTGCCCGTCGACCAGCTCGCCCAAGTCGGTGTCACCCACTGCTGCAGGTCGGCTGTGCTCGCCGCCCACCCGACAACGAAGTTCGCTCCGCCCAAGCGAGGACGGGGCCAACATACAATTTCTGTTGACATCATGAAGCATGCAACGGATCATCTCAAGTAAAGTCCGGTTGGCACTCTCAGCAACTCCATTTTGCTGTTGACGCGTTAGTTTCCCACGATAGCACGAGATGCATTAGGGAATCGAGGTGGAGGAGAGGTTAAGGCCGGTGACCAGCTGCTGCCGATGAAGTGTTGACAAGTCCTGCATGTTGAGATACCCGAAACGACGATGCCAAAGGTATGTGGAGGTGGTGGTGGAGACTAGAGATGCCGTTAAGTCGATGGAGGGAACGGCACTGCTCACATGATGCAGCTGAAGATAAAACAGATTGTTGCGGGTAAAGCCCTCGCCAATAGGAGCCTCATCAGTTTTGAGCTCAACCTGACCGGCAGTGGGAAAGGAAACGGACAAGCCGGCGGCACCAAGGGCACGAACTGAGAGCAAATCGTGAACCGATGCAGGGAGAAACATAACGTTGTCCAGCTGGATGGTGGTTTCTGATGTTTGTGAACGAAGAGTTGCCACCACTGTGCCGACTCCCAAGACCTTGTAAGTCTCTCCACCACCAAAACAAACAATAATATCATCGGTTGGCTTCTGAGAGATGAAAACAGTGAACGATCCGAGCAGATATGGGAAGATGCGCCGCTGTCCACCATCCAGGAAGATGTCCGGTCCGGTCCATGTTGGAGGAAGAGGCCGTGAATGCCGATGCATAGGGAGCGCCATGAGGGAAGAGGAGGAGGAGGAGGAGGATGGTGAAGTTGAAGACAGCATCGACGAGAGGAGTCCATTTGGGGATGATGGGGCGGTGGCTGGTGCTGAAAGCAATGTCAACATACCGGGAATCAGGTACGGACTGAGAGGCTGATGGGGCAGGAGATGGTGTGGAGGTAGAAGGGATTATGGCGGAGGAGCTTGTTGACACATGCACCGAAGGCCAGATGACGGATTTCTCCCGTCGAGACTTTTTTTCGAGCTCTTTCTTCTTCAACTTGAAGCATTCGTCAATGGTGTGACCGGTTTTCTTGCAATAACGGCAAGTAGGGGACTGGCGGGAGCCGGAGCGAAGAGGGTGGGAGGGCTGGGAATAAAGGTTGTATGCACCTTCCATGTTGCGGCTTGTACCAGATTGTGACCGCTCCCAATCGATTGAGTTGAGTTGGTGCGTAAGGTTTCCAACTCGATTGAAGTAGGAGCGAAGACTCGTCGTTGAGTCCATTTGTGTAGTGATGAGATCTCGGAGGAGAGCCACTTGTGCATGGTTACCCATGTAGTCAAACCGCGCCATGATGCATCCCCGCATATCCTTTGTTGTGTTGGCTTGAGCAAGTGTGAGGGAGAGCTGAGGATGGACGGCTGACTTGAGGAGATAGTACGCATGCTCCTCTTTCTCTTCATCCGGCAGCGACGCAATCGAATGGGCTGTTTTTGGGGCTACACCATTGTTGCCTTCGGTAGCATCTCCACTGCTGGTTGTGGAAGAGGCAATGGAAGGGCGGGCAGCAACCTTGGGTTTTCCAAGAAGGGAGTTCAGGCCAAGGACATTCAAGATGTAGCAGATCTTTTTATTCCATGGAATGAAAATGGAACCATCTAGGCCAAGATAGGAAGGGTGTGCTGACCGAGAAGTGTCTCAACTTGAACCATCAAATGTGCGACATTCACAAAGCTAGAAGCCTAGCTCCGATAGCTTGTAGGAAATGGATCGGTGGACTTAAGACACACTAAGAAGAAGAAAATATCATTAGCAGGAAGATGGTACAAGTCTTAGAGACTAGAGCAAGGTCCTTGTCCAAGGATGAGTTATAGTGAAGTGAGAAGCGAAATATATGTGTCTGAACTCTTGAGGCTAGCTGGAGCACCTCAATGTTGAGGGCAAGGCTAGCCAACCTTGCCAATCTAGCAACTGAGGCGTCATGTTGCACATGTGGGCCAGGCTGGAACAACAGCCCACATGGCAGCGTATGGCACACCATAGGGGCCAGCAAGGTGAGTATGGGATGAGTGGACAGGTGGCAATGCCAACCGAGACCACACTCCACTGTGGGTGAGTGTGGTGGAGTGTGGACATGTCATGGTGGGCATAATGAGAATGGAAAGTGCAGCTGCTAAAGTTGAACCCACGACCTCTAAGACCAAATGTGAGAATCTACCCACTGGGACATACTTGTTGCACAACAAACGCCACGACAAAGTTTCGATGATATAAGCGGTGAGGGTCAATTCCAAGCAACATCAGCAATCTCACGGTTTTGGTCCAAGCGACCTCTTGTGCCCCTTCACTGTACTTTGATCTCTACATAGAGCACTACCCACCACCGGCTTTTTTAACAAGCACTTGCGACTGTGTGCTTTTAGGTTGTACATCCCTGAAACATCCAGCATTGCACTGCGTATCAAAGGCGGGCTTGCGAGCATAGTGGTTGGTGGAGTGACCCTTTTTAGATAAAGGGTCCCACTGGCAGAAAGTTGCAAATCAGCTCCTGTAATTGGCATGGCAGCAGATATTTGAGCCTGTTCGGTTGCGTACCGCCAGTACACCTGCCAGTAGTGGATCCTTTGAAGCACTAGCAGGTGTGTTTGAGGTTTGTTGGTGTGGTGGCCCACCACAAACTAGCACAAAACCATTTCGCACCTTGTGGTTGGGGGATTCATATTCCTACCAATTTCTCTTTTAATGTCAAAAAGGGTGCCCCATGAAGGGAGGGGTTGGCACTCAGATGCTGACGTGATGACTGAAGATGGGTTTCAACCCTCATGCATCAGTGGCTGAGATGGGTGCATTGTCCCGCCCTAACAAACACAACCTTTCAGCCGATCCTCAGCTGTCAGGCCGACCTTTACCGAAGGTCTACAGTCCGCTCAATATGAAAGTACTTGCCTAAGCAAATTTGATGTAAAATGTGTCAGAGTGTAAGGAATTGTAATTCTTTATTGTAGGCCTACTCTAGTTGGTTCGGCCCCGAACCACTTCCGAGTCGCCGCTGCACCCACCCTAGGGATGAGCAAGGGGCGAACACGAACATGTTCGTGTTCGCTCCTACACGAACACATCCGTTTGCCGAACCGAACACTGCTCGGTTCGGCGAACACTTTAAGCAAAAACAGGTGTTCGCCATTCGCCTGTGAAGGCATGTTCGGGCAAACCTCAAACACGTTCGTGTTCGTCGTGGGGCAAATTGCAGCAGCGGCCCGAACACGAACGTGTTCGGGCGAACCTCGAACACTGTTTGGCGAACACTTTAAGCAAAAAAAAAAAAAAAACCTGTTCGGTTCGCCTCGAACGTGGTGTTCGTTTTTTTGCTCATCCCTAACCCACCCTTCGAAGCCTCATTTACCCTGATGTCATGCGCTAACGCGATCCTACACCATTAGGGATGAGCAAATGGAGAACACGAACATGTTCGTGTTCGCCCCTTCACGAACACGGCCTTTTGCCGAACCGAACACTGTTCGGTTCGCCAAACGACTTCCCCAAAAAAGGGTGTTCATCGTTCGCCTCTGAAGGCGTGTTTAGGCGAACCTCGAACACGTTCGTGTTCGCCACGGGGCGTTTTGCAGAAGCGCCACGAACACAAACGTGTTCCGGCGAACCTCGAACACGTTCGGGTTTGTTTCTTTGCTCATCCCTATACACCATTAGCATTGCTTTAGACAATTTGTGTTCATTCTGTGGTTTTCCACCTTCAGTGCATGCTCACGCATAAGCGTCATCGTCTGTTTTTTTTACTGAACAGCTCGAATCTAACGTTTCTGGGAAAAAAAACCCCGCTGTTCGGTTCGACCCTAAAATGTTTGGTCCAATCAATCAGGGGTCTGGGCGCTTGCTGTGTGTACCATCCTTTGTTCTTTATTAACTCCTGCTTGTAATTGTCTTGTTGAAGCCCTTATTGTGTCCTCCCTTGTGCATTGAAAATTCATGCCGTGGACCAAGTTCACCTTGCTCACACCACCTCCCTATCCGCGTTTACTCAGTGGCAGTTGTTCTTCGTCGTCTGTTATGCTTCTACATTATGTACAGAATGCGTAACCAGGGTGCTGTATGGAACAAAGTAGCGTGTCAAACCAAGTCTTGGTGGCCAACAAATGAAAACGTGAACTTTCTGCCAGAGTTGAATGCTGAATTTGTGTTCATCATCACACGATTCTATTTATTCCCTCGGTTTCAAAGGCTATTAACCTTATTGGACCAGCTGGGTATTATTTGCACTGGTTCAGGGTGAACTGGTTCGGTTCGCCAACTCATAATCAAACCACAAACCGAGCCCCTACCTTTCAGAGCCGGTCCGTTACAAATTGGTTCGGCTCAGTAGCAAACCGTTTCGGTGTACAAAGCTATGAAACCCAACCGTTCCGATTCGGTTCTATGCTCAAGTCCACTGCGCGGGTATCACGCTGAACAGTAACATGTTCTGTTTGAAAAGAAGTCTTTCTTTATTCCTCTGGAACATGTTCGAGTGGGCCAAGCAGGGGGGTGGGTGTATGCTCATGTTCAACAATCCCATTTTCATCTCCCTCGTTTGGTACCATTCGTGAAGCTCTTTTTGTGTACTTCCGACTGTGCATTGAAAAACCACACCCCAGAGCAAGTAATGTTCACCTTGCTAATACCACCTCCCTCTATCTATCCCTTGCTATGCCTGCGTACATTTCATGGTGAGTGCCCGTCATCGTCTGTTATGCAACGAAGGTGGTTGTCAGACTAATATCTATTGCTGCCCGTATCAAATGCCCGACTTGTGTTCTTCACTTCACCACAGTAGTCTTGCCCAAAACCAGCTCTCTGGCTCAATTTCGATTGAAATATCCACCCTAACAACACTGAAATATCTGTAAGGCCTCTGATCTGCTGTGCTCTTCTTATGAAACTCACACCTTTTTCATTATATTTCTCCCATCATTTCCTTCCACTCATGACATTTTCATTATACTCATCTCTTACTGCAATCCTCCTCTCATTTCATCCTCACTCGTTCTCCACTTTCTCATCCCCTCTCTGTGCACTCCACCTTCCTTAGCACTTTTAGAAATGTTGTGATTGCATATTTTGCTGCTTGGATGCATGTATGTATGCGTTAACTCTACGTTTATACCCAGGATTGAGATCTTTGACTGTATGTAGAATGTATGTATGATTTGTCGCTTACGAGTCAAGATCTTGACTTGTTCTACAAACTAAAAATAAACTCCAGTTATGATACATTGTTTGTCTGTGATAACTCAACCGAGTCATGTCAAGTTATTCTCGTGAGCTTGTAACTCGCATATTTTCCTTGTGGTTAGATTTTCTCAGTGGTTAGATTCTGTAAAGGATGTGCTCCTTGCGAGCTGTTCCTTTTTTGAAAACTCCCCGGGCCGCTAGAGTGTGTGCTGTCCTGGTGTAGCTTGCTGCTTTCCTCCATCCGAGTGATAAGAAAGGGGGAGGAGCAGTTTTTGCAGAGTATATAGAGTTCCACCCAAGTTGAAAAAAATCAAAGTGTAGGTTAGAATGGGCATTAGCCTGTCCCGTCCAGGTCGACCCGTGGCGAATTCGGGTCCCGTATGGTCGCGTCATCGGGTCAAGATTGGCCCTAATAAGTGTACCTGAACCGCCACATGGAGCTCGGGTATCTGTGACCCGACCTCGGGTAAGGAATATCCCAGTTCGGGTCGGGTATGGAACAGGGTATGCAATATTTCGAGTTTATGGAACTCTTGCAGACTAGTAAAACATGCACCATTTTTCCTATTGGTCCATTAGCTCGATAAGCAAAGTTTTTTTAGCAAGGTAGCATGGAAATACGGGTGTCCATGGCATACATAAATAGTTTAGCACTACAGATAATAATGCCAAGTTTGTGAATAAACAGAATCTATGTAATCTCGCTAACAACACTCGAAACCCATTGTCCTGACCCACATAGCACAAGTCCTCCAGCATGCGTGCGGCCCCTGCCGCGAGGAGGCTTTTGCAGCTCGTGTTCTGCACCATCTATGACTAAATAGCCATGATGACACGCACACGACCGGTGGTCAAGTGGTAATGCTGCCATGTCACAACATTCCGAACCTGCCAAATTAGCCCCCTTTCTATACCCAGCGAAGGGGTCACTGTCAGAACTTGAGCTTAGAATTCATGCATTAGTAATGAGCTTGAAGATCTTGAAGTAGGCATGAGCAACGGGCGAACACCGAACATGTTCGCCCGAACCTCCACGAACATGTCTTGTGGGCGAACCGAACATGTTTTGGCGATTTTAGGTGTTCGGTGTTCGTGATAGGAGGGCGAACACTGCATGTTCGGGGCGAACCCGAACATGTTCGAGGTTCGAGAGTGTGTTTTCAGTGGGCCTGCTCCTCCCCCGTGGCCTCCTTCCCCCCCCTTCCGAACATCGAACATGTTCGGCCGAACATGTTTGATGTTCGGCCGAACATTTATGGCCAAAAAACATGTTCCGTGCGGTTCTGTCACGAACATGTTCAGATGAACCGAACAGGCGTTTGAATTTTTGCTCATGTCTATCTTTAAGTACATCCAAAATGGACAAAGAAAGGATGGGAAGGGAATCAGGGGCAATCGCTGAGGATTGGATGTAATCCCAAGGCAATCTTTAATTGGTGGGTTGGAGATTGCTTGGAGATCACATTTGGGTTTGGTTGGTATGTAGGTATACACCCAACCAAACGCAAAGTACAAAACTACACTACGCTAGGATATAGAATGTACAAAATACAAAGTGTGAGATTGAGGTCTAACACTAACAGTCACGAACCCCCCCCCCCACCAATCTAAACCAGCCCCACAGTCTCATTATTCAAGGTGGTCGCAGCCCATCCTGCGCCATACCATCCCTTCAATCTCACCATTTTATATAGTCACAGCCGATCCCACGCAATACCAGCCCTTCATCCTCACAATTCAATGTAGTCCCCACTACTCACACTTCCGTCTAGGCACACCATGTTCATCACCCACCCAGAGCACACCACTCGAGCGCATAACTAATGTCCGTCCAGTCGAAAAATAGCGTCAGCGACTGCTGCAGCTCCAGAGCGCGGCAGATCATCTCGTAAGCGGACCCCCAACGCGTAGGCGAGTCGTAGACCAGACAAAGCACCGGCGGGTCCTCCCTCCCGGACAAGCAGTGCTGCTGCTTGGTGACAATCCGACGAACAGAAAATAACATTCCGCAGGCGGCCCAACACCTCCAACACCTTGTGCTCCTTCGATGCATACTGCACTGCAATGTTCATGACACGTGCAATGTGTAGAAAACAAACCTATGTGCACAATGAGAAGCTGGTTCAGAAATGCTGAAAGGTTCTTGTTGTGCAGCAAGTATGTCCTAGTGGGAAGATTTTCACCTTTGGTTATAGAGGTTGTGGGTTCAAGTCTCAGCAGCTGCACCTTCTCCTCTCATTATGCTCAATATGACATGTCCACACTCCACCACAGTGAAGTGAGGTCACAGTTGGCATTGCCATCTGTCCCTTCATCCCATACTCACCTTGCTGGCCCCTATGGTGTGTCATATGTTGTAATGTGGGCTGTTGTTCCAGCCTAGCCCACATGTGCAACATGTGGCCTCAGTTGCTAGCTTGGCAAGGTTGGCTAACCTTGCCCTCCACTTTGAGGTGCTGCAGCTAGCCTCAAGAGTTCAGCCACATATATGTGGCACCATCCTCTTGCTAAGGATATTTTCTTCTTCCTATTTTGCCTTAAGTTCTCCGATCCAATTTCTACATGCTATCAGAGTTAGCTTCTAGCTTAGTGAACGTTGCACATTTGATGGCTCAAGTTGAGATGCCTCTCGGTCGGCACACCCCTCCTATCTTGGCCTAGATGGTTCCAATTTCATTCCATGGAAGAAAAGATCTGCTACATCTTGAATGTCCTTGGCCTGAACTCCCTTCTTGGAAAATCCAAGGCTGCTGCCCGCCCTTCCATTGCCTCTTCCACAACCAGCAGTGGAGATGCTACCGAAGGCAACAATGGTGTAGCCCCAAAAACAGCCCATTCGATTGCGTCGCTGCCGGATGAAGAGAAAGAGGAGCATACGTACTATCTCCTCATGTCAGCCGTCCATCCTCAGCTCTCCCTCACACTTGCTCAAGCCAACACAACAAAGGATATGTGGGGATGCATCATGGCGCGGTTTGACTACATGGGTAACCATGCACAAGTGGCTCTCCTCCGAGATCTCATCACTACACAAATGGACTCAACGACGAGTCTTCGCTCCTACTTCAATCGAGTTGGAAACCTTACGCACCAACTCAACTCAATCGATTGGGAGCGGTCGCAATCTGGTACAAGCCGCAACATGGAACGTGCATACAACCTTTATTCCCAGCCCTCCCACCCTCTTCGCTCCGGTTCCCGCCAGTCCCCTACTTGCCGTTATTGCAAGAAAACCGGTCACACCATTGACGAATGCTTCAAGTGGAAGAAGAAGAAAGAGCTCGAAAAAAAGTCTCGACGGGAGAAATCCGTCATCCGGCCTTCGGTGCATGTGTCAACAAGCTCCTCCGCAATAATCCCTTCTACCTCCACACCATCTCCTGCCCCATCAGCCCCTCAGTCCGTGCCTGATTCTCGGTATATTGACATTGCTTTCAGCACCAGCCACCACCCCATCATCCCCACATGGACTCCTCTCGTTGCTGCTGTCTTCAACTTCACCATCCTCCTCCTCCTCCTCTTCCCTCATGGCGCTCCCTACGCATCGGCATTCACGACCTCTTCCTCCAACATTGTCCGGACCGGACATCTTCCTGGATGGTGGACAGCGGCGCATCTTCCCATATCTGCTCTGATCGTTCGCTGTCTTCATCTCTCCAGAAGCCAACCGATGATATTATTGTTTGTTTTGGTGGTGGAGAGACTTACAAGGTCTTGGGAGTCGGCACGGTGGTGGCAACTCTTCGTTCACAAACATCAGAAACCACCATCCAGCTGGACAACGTTATGTTTCTCCCTTCATCGGTTCACAACCTGCTCTCAGTTTGTGCCTTGGTGCCGCCGGCATTGCCGTTCCCTTTCCCACTGCCGGTCGGGTTGAGCTCAAAACTGATGAGGCTCCTATTGGCGATGGCTTTACCTGCAACAATCTGTTTTATCTTCAGTTGCATCATGTGAGGAGTGCCGCTCACTCCATCGACCCAACGGCATCTCTAGTCTCCACCACCACCTCCACATACCTTTGGCATCGCCGTTTTGGGCATCTCAACATGCAGGACTTGTCAACACTTCATCGGCAGCAGCTGGTTACCGGTCTTAACCTCTCCTCCACCTTGATTCCGTAATGCATCTCGTGCTATCGTGGGAAAGTAACGCGTCAACCATTTGGCGTGTCCCATTCTCGCACCACAGCACTGCTCCAACTAATTCATTCGGATATTGCTGGACCGTTTTCATATGGAACTACCATTGGAGGCGCTCGCTGCCTTTTCACCTTCATCGACGACTACTCCCGCCACATTACAGTGTATCTCCTACGCCACCGTTCAGAGGCATTGTCATGCTTCGAAGCTTACGTCAATCGGGTGCACAACGTGCATTCCCCACATACCATCAAAACCTTCAAAACCTTTTGTTCCGACGGTGCCTTGGAATCCACTTCCGAAGCCTTCATTTCATTCCTTAAAGCTCATGGCATCGCTCGACACTATTCTACGCCATATACGCCTCAGCAAAATGGGGTTGCTGAGAGTGCCAACCGGACTTTACTTGAGATGATCCGTTCCATGTTTCATGATGTCAACAGAAATTGTATGTTGGCCCCGTCCTCGCTTGGGCGGAACTTCGTTGTCGGGTGTGCGGCGAGCACAGCCGACCTGCAGCAGTGGACGACGCCGACTTGGGCGAGCTGGTCGACGGGCAGGTCGACGTGCACGGGGCCACTGTAGTGCCGCCGACCTTCGGGAGCCGGCGGCCGATTTCAACCGAGGTCGACGAGGAGAGACGTCGACCTAGGAGAGGGCACCAACTTTGGAGGGCGTCGAATTCGGGTGGTCGGTCCTCATTCCTTCACAACGGCGTTCTAAGCTCGTCGACCGGAGCACGCCCGGCATCATGGTTGGATATGGTCATCTTGACGACACCAAAACTTACCGCATCTATGTCCCATCTCAGCATCGTGTCATACTTTCTCGTGATGTCATCTTCATGGAGCCCTCCTCGCCACCTTCCGATGACCCTCAAGACCCTCCTAAGTCATCTTCACCCATCTCGTCCTCGATACCTCCTCCTCCACACCCTTCCTCCTTGGCACCAACATCCCCTCCCTCTCCTTCAACCCCCATACCCTCCTCCGCCACCCTCCCTCCCACATCCCCAAATCTGCCCGCACCAGCCTCCTCTTCTCCTCCTCCTCTGTTTTCCAACCTTCCTCTGCCCTCGATGCTGCAAGACTTTCAGCTTCCATCCCTCCTCACCTCGTCCTCCCCATTGCACGACTCGTTTCTCACCACCATCACCTTCAACTGCTCCCGATCCTTCACTTTTCTCATTGCTAAAGGTCTTACCCTCTCCTTCCGAACCCATTGACTTCACCCTTCCTCCTTCATCCAAGACCTCCGCAAATGCTGCCCTTCATCATCACTACAAACCTCAAACCATTAATGAGGCCTGTACCGGCCCTGATGCTACTGAATGGATCAAGGCTGCTGATGCGGAATTCGCTGCCCTGCACGCTAATGACACCTACAGCATTGTTCCTCGACCACCCAAGTGCAAGCCGATTCCATGCAAGTGGATTTTCAAGGTCGAGGAGCATGCTGATGGTTCTATTGAACGCCGCAAGGCTCGTCTTGTTGTCAAAGGCTTCAAGCAACGCAACGGTGTTGATTTTCATGACACCTTTGCTCCTACTGTCCGCTTCGCCACCCTCCGCCTCTTCCTCACCCTTGCGGCCGCCTTCGAATCGGAAGTCCATCAGCTTGACATCTCCAACGCCTTCCTCAACGGCACGCATGATGAGATTCTCTACATGATGCAGCCTCCCGGTTATGAACTTCCGACGGTCCGTGGTGTTGAGCAAGTTTGTCTAATGCACAAACCGCTGTACGGGTTGAAACAAGCCCCGCGATGCTCGTACCGGAAGCTTCGTGAGGAGCGTGCTGCCTTTCACCTCTTTGCTGCCCATGCGGACCCCGGCTTTTTCATTGCTCCTCCTCACTCTCCTTATTGGCCTACAGCTGCATCCTTCTCCATGCTTCTCGTCTACGTTGACTACCTCATCATTCTCTCCTCTTCTCTTCTTGCCTCATTCAAAGGTGCCCTCCCGTCTCGCTTCAATCTTCGTGACCTCGGTCCTCTTTTCTACTACCTTGGCTTTCACATCCCTCGTGATCGGACCTCCCGCACTCTTCACCTTCATCAATCCAGATTCATCACCTCAATTCTATACACCAACTCATTCACTCCGCTTAACCCCGCTGCCACTCCTATGGACACCAAGTTTCAGCCGCCCGTGACTTCATCCCCGCACTCCTCCTCCTTTCCTTACACCTCGTTTGTCGGATCCATCATGTATGCCATGGTGGGATCTCGTCCTGATTTCGCGTTTAGCGCCGGAGTTCTTGCTCGTCACCTTCATGATTGGTCTACTCCTCACGTCTCGGCTGCCAAACGCGTTGGGCACTATATGAAAAGGACTACCTTCCTCGGGCTTCTCCTTGGTGGCGTTCCCAACGCCCTTGAGCTTCATGGGTGTGGTGATGCATCTTGGGGACCAGAGAGGGAGCTCCGACGCTCCGTTACGTGCTACTTGTTCTTCCTCGGTCCGTCACTCATCTCTTGGCAGTCCAAACGCCAAGCTGTTTTCGCTATTTCCTCATGTGAGGCTGAATATTATTCTCAGGGCGCCGCGGTGCATGAGGCCTTATGGCTTCGTTCCCTCCTTTCTGCACTTGGACTTCCTCCAACCGGCTCCCCGCATTTCGTGTGACAACAACAATGCCATCATTCTCGCCAAGGATGATGGTGTCTTTCATCCCAAGGCCAAGCACATTGACATCAAACACCATTTCATTCGTGATCATGTTGCCGACCACTCCGTCACCCTTCACTATGTTCCTACTCAAGACAACCTCGCTGACAACAAGCCTTTGCCCCGTGACCCTTTTCTTCGCATCCGTGGTCTTCTCGGTCTCACCCATGTCTCCTCTTGAAGGACCCTACCCCGGGGACATCCTTGAGGGGGAGTGTTGTGCAGCAAGTATGTCCGAGTGAGTAGATTCACATCTTTGGTGTTAGAGGTCGTGGGTTCAAGTCTCAGCAGCTGCACCTTCTCCTCTCATTATGCTCAATATGACATGTCCACAGTCCACCACACTCCACCATAGTGAAGTGTGGTCACTGTTGGCATTGCCATCTGTCCCCTCATCTCATACTTGCTGGCTCCTATGGTGTGTCATGTGTTGTAATGTAGGTTGTTCCAGCCTAGCCCACATGTGCAACATGTGGCCTCAGTTGCTAGTTTGGCAAGGTTGGCTAGCCTTGCCCTCAACTTTGAGGTGCTGCAACTAGCCTCAAGAGGTCAGCCACATATATGTGGTTTCCTTCTTCACTAGGAATCATCCTTGGACAAGGACCTTGGTCTAGTCTCTAAGACTTGTACCATCCTCTTGCTAAGGATATTTTCTTCTTCCTATTGTGCCTTAAGTTCACCGATCCATTTGCCTTAAATAGTAAGTGAATTGAATGGATACAAGCAAAACAATGGCTGAAATAGGCAGAAAGTGAAGAGAGCTATTTTGTAGGGAACTTGGCTGGCCCGGGTGATGGAAGTGATACCTAAGAGAATTGGGGTGGCCAATTGGGTGCTCAAGTCGCCCGATGGGGGCGTGAAGGATTCTCAAAGTGGGCCTGGAATCGCTCTCTTTAGTGGAACCGCGATTCCACGAATTGGAAACGCAAATTCCGAGTTGGAGCCGCGTCCCCAAGGTTGGGAAACGTGGTGAGGTGCCCAAAACCGAATTTGGGGTACCTCCAACAAACCTAAAGGACAAATAAGTACCTCCCGTGCCCTAAGCAACTGTCACCTCGGCACGCTTTCAGCGCAACCGCTTCCCTCCATGGACCTACGTTGTCAAGTATGGCAACCGCAAGGGACAAGTGTGTGGTGACACTAACCACCTCGTTGCCACCTGCTTCAAGAAGAAAGACGACGAATGATTTGCCATCCATGGGGTTAACAAGAAACCGCCGAACCGAATGCGCCCTCGTAAGGCCAACCTAGTTGAGGTACAGGACCCCGCTCAAGCTAGTGCTAGTGATAGTGCTCCTTTTTATGTGCGCTGCGGAGAATCACTCGACAACGGTTGGGAGCTAGACTATGGGGAGGGTTGGCACGAGCTCTAGGAGTGATCGTAGCTTCTTTAGCGTTCTCTAGCACTTGTGCGTTCACAGAGCAATTTGGCAAGAGTTTCACTAGGGAAAGTCGCATTACTGAATGATTGATACATCAATGGCAAGAATGACTACATCAGAGACTAGTAACCCAGCAAGGCAGCTGGTCGACCGCCAGCGCAGCATGGTCGACCGTCACCGCACCAGCCATGCAGAAGAGCATGGCACCTACTGCTGCCCGTCGTCGTCATCGTCGCCGACGTCGGCCAAGCGCTCGTGGCCGATTGCGACGGAGCACCGGTTGAAGGCCAGAAAGTGCAGCGCCTTCGTTAGGAAATCGGCCGGCTGCTCGGTGGTCGGGATGTACCGCAGTACGGGACTTCCCGCGCTTCACCATCTTCTGCAGGGAGGCCTTGCGTCGCTCCATCTGCTTGAGGTTCCCCTTCAACTCCAAGCCTTCAGCGACTGTGATGACCGACTTGTTGTCCGCCCGGAGGACAATCGGCATCCCAGCGTCGAGCAGCTGGAACTCTGCAAGGAGGAAGCGAAGTTGACGTCCCTCCTTGCCCGCCTCCGTAGCCGCCACATACTACGACTCAGTCGACGGAGCGTCGCACACCTGATGCGCTAGCTCGACCAGGAGATGGCTGCCCTTCCGAAGACGAACACGTAATTGCCCGTGCTCGTCCTGTTCTGCTTGTCGCCGGCGTCGTCGGCGTCCACGTAGCCAACCAGACTCAGCAATTTTGGTCCACCGCCAAACTCCATATCGGTGTTACGGGTGTCAGCGAGGTAGGTGAGGCAGCGGTTGACCTCACGCCAGTGCTGGCCGCTCCTCACGCGAAAGCGATGTCCGGCCTCGTCGTCGTCGCCGCGAACTGCAGCGAGCCAACCTTCTGCCAATACTCCTCCTCACGCGCCTGGGCATCCTCGTCGTCGAACGTTAGCTCAGCAAAGGCATCGACAAAGACTCGCGTCTTCATGATCCGCCCGGTCTGCTCCTTGTCGATAAAGCGTCTGCGCAGCTTGTCGACGTACGACTGCTGGTGCAACCACAGCTTTCTCGCCGGCCTGTCGCGCATGATCTCCAGCCCAAGGAACCGCTCGACCAGGCTTATCTCGCGCAGCTCAAAGGCGGCCTCCAGCAGCTCCTTCAGCATCATGATGCTGCTGCTAGCAACGAGCAGGTCGTCGACGTAGACCAGCACCCAGCAGGTCACTCCGTCGTCGCCGACCTTGAAGTACAGTGCATCAACGACCTGGCTCTTCTTACAGTCGGTGCCAGTCAGCACGTCGTCGAGCGCCTTGTACCATTACAGCGGCGACTGCTTCAGCCCGTACAGACTCTTCAGCATCTTGCACACCCGGCCGGTCTCGTTGTCGTAGTAGTCCGGCTGGTACATTTACAGCACCCTGTCGAGCTTGCTCTGCAGGAAAGCGTTCTTCATGTCGAGCTGCATCAGGTTGAGATCGAGGATAGCGACGATGCTAAAGAAGATCCTCATCGTAATGTAGCTGCTGACCGGCGCGTACGTCTCGTCGTAGTCGGCGCCGTACACCTGCACCATTCACGACCAGCCTCGCCTTCTCCCGGGCGACCGTCATCAACACACTGCGGTTTTTAATGATGTTCACACCGTGCAATCGTTGACCAGCTCCCACGTGCCCATGCCGATGATGCTGCGGATTTCCTCGTCCTTGGCGGCCTTCACCACCTTGCCCTTCCACCTCGCCAACGCCTCGGGGTCAGTGTCATCGTCGTGATATCCCAGCGGTGATCGGGGTCGGCGTGCACATCGGGGTCGGCGTGCACATCGGGGTCGAGCTCAGGCAGGTCCACGTCGGCCTCAGCGTCGTCGAGCAGCGTGGTGAAGGCGGCTGGTGGCTGACAGGCGTGAAATATCAGCCGCTCCAGCGGCTTCCGATTTCAGCCTGAGCGTTGCAGTTCCGGCTTCTCGACCGGAACGTCGCTGTCGGTAGACTCCTCCTCTGCCAACAGCTCCCCTTCATTGTCAACCGCATCGTCGACGACGAGCTACTTCACGAACGGTGGCCCTTCGACCGGCTGCTCACCTCTTGTCGGCCCGCTTTTCGACTTCTCTTTGGTCGACTGCTCCTTTGTCGACTTCCCCTTCAGCTGCTCCCCTGTCGGCGGCAC